TGTGGTTAATTTAAAATTTAAAAAAAACTTCTCTTTCTCACTGCAGTTCATTCTTGTGGCAGAAAATACTGCTTTCCCATAATGTCTAAACCAAATCAATGGGTAGATGACTCATTAACGCCCCGAATCTCCTTATTCATGCCATAATATGACTTCTAACAATATCAGTGAATACCAAAACTCAGCACAGCTCATTTGCCCTTGATAATTGAGCAAGCCAGAAGTTGTCCTCAGGGAGCTGCATTTATCCCAAGGAGACCTTCAGTTGTTAAAAAGAGCATTTTAAATATATCTGAATTGATTCAACTACAGAAGCTGTCTGGGCAGCTATTTGGAACTATACGAGAGCTACCATGAAGCAATACATGCACAAGTTTTGGAACAGAATCCTATTTCAGAACTCTTTGCCACATTATGGGAGATTCTGAGGTGTACTTTTCATTTGTGTGGAAGAATTTTGGTCACAGAAACCTCTACCCATGCTGTCTAACACAACTTAAAAATACCTCAAGCCAGTTCTGAGTATATGAAAACTTGAAAATTCACAACTTTTAAGACATCTACAATGTAAATCTCAATCTTCTTCCCCATTCTGTTCCCATTCAGGAAGGCATTCAGCTATGCACAGTTAGGATACTAAATACATGAACACTGATTGCATGAATAACCTTCAATCAAATCCAGCAGCAATGATATATTCTTCATGACTTTATCCATAGAAAATGGGGGAGTATTTGAGCATTGTAGCTATTTATATTTCCATTATTGAAGAAAATGAAATATTCCTTCTCCATTACCCGTCTTCACAGATGCACACCTATGGTGGCTAGATAGAATCGGAGACCTAACTCCAACCCGAGAAATTGCCATGAGGTCTGAACTGGATCTCCAAGCTTAGAGTACCCACCCTCCACTCTCACAACTGGTGCAATTCTTTCCATGCCAGTTGAGCTCTAAGGATGGGAGCCTGTGTTGGGAGGGCATTCCAAGGGGTGGGGAGGGAAGGAGCCATGCCTTGGTGAGTCTCTCCTCTGACAAGCAGGGCAAAAGACTGCAAGAGCCAAAATCTTTCATATGGTGAGAGCAGCATGGAGGCAACTTCCATGCCCCTCCTGCCTCTGCAGGTTGGCCGTAATCATTGAAGTTTGGAGGTTCCAGGTAGCTACACTGGATCATACTGCATTTCTTATTTTTCCCATAATACCAATAAAATAATATTATCATATCAGCCATGGCTTTTGAGAAAGCTCAGGAAAGTTAGTACTAAATACCAAGAGGACAATGGAACCAAACTTAGGCATGTTTAAGCCTATTAATTTCAATGATAGAATTAAGCATATACTTAAAGCTTTCTCACTGAAATAAATGGGACTTTGTCTGCTTAGAAATGGCAGACCATATTTCAAGTATTTATGATAAATTCTGAGCTACATATTTTTTGCTTACAACAATGAAGAATTCTAGACTGTCAAACTTGCAAAGAAATGCACAAGTATGTCAGCAATACAGTACCATTAATCTACATCCATTAGCCATTCTATAAAGCAAAACACACATCTTACTACTTATAATGTTACATGGTACAATGACACATGGTACCATGGGTACAATGAAATAAAAATACCATGTCATAAAACTCTAATACCTTAGATATTAATCCAATTTTTCATAATATTTGATAAGCAATACTTTTCTTTGAAGTAAAGATTCAAAATTTGTGTATGTGTGTAATTTATAAACTACGTGCATATGGTAGAACCATATTTTAGAAATGTAAATTATTTGCAAATAATTTCCTTAAACATGCTTAAATTAAAAATGATATTTAAAAAGATATGAGATTTTTTTCCAGGATACATTCAGCATATAGATGACCACAGGATTTTTAAGAGATTCTGTGTCATAAAAACGCTCCAACATCAGAGCTCAGGATCTGCATTTGGATTCCACTTCCTGCTGCACTTGGAACAGAAAGTATTGCACCAGCTGCTTCTGCAAGGTTGTAAATGTGACCTTGAGGAAGGGTTTTTGGGGACATGTAGAACTGGAACTCAAAGGTTTATTCTTTTTCCAATATTTTATGTCTACCAAATGTACTTGAGCCCTTTGAGAGGGAAGTCCTACTTCAGGTCTCACCAGAGAAAGAGAAGAACCCCTGGAAAGGGCTAGAATTCACCCTAAATGTTGGTCTTGAATTGCCTCCAGATTGGCCAGAATATCCTCCTTCCAACCCCAGACTTCAGCTCCATATAGGAGATGAGGGATGCCCTTACTTATAAATAGTTTCAGTGCTGGGTCAATCAAGCATCAGCCCTTTGTATATAAAAATGTATAGAAAAATTAGACATACCATCCTTAATGCTGAGGATTTAATCATTGCAAGGTGAGCTTTCCAATTCAGAGTCTCCATGAAAGTTACTCTAAGATATTTAAAGGAGCTGCATATTTGATTGCATTGCCAAGGATACTCCAGTAAGATAATTCAAGCTTTCTCCTGAAGACCATTACTTTTGTCTTTGCATAGTTTATATTAAGAGCTTCTTCATTAGGGCATTGCCCTAAGTGATGTAAGAGTCTACTCAGGCCAATTTTAGTTAAAGAAATTAAAACCATATCATCTGCATAAAGCAGGACTGAAATTTTCTCTTGGCCCCGTGAAGATGGAAAGAACTGGAGACCTGACAAAACCTTTCTTACATCATCAGTATTTAGACTGAATAAAGAAGAGGCCAACACACAACCCTGCTTCACTCCTTTATTGACAGGAATTCTGCTAGTTAGTGAACCAGAACTTCCCAATCTAATTTGCTCAAAAGTGTCTCTATGCAGGTCTTAAAGCAGGAATACTTGTCAATATTAATTTCAGCTAACTTTGTCCAAAGGTGGGCCCTGTTAATGGAATTGAATATGAAGCTAGGTCCACAGACGCAACATGAAGTGCTTTTGTTGGTTCGTCTATGCCAGAGTATGCCAATTGGTAGAGGGTTTGGCAATGGTTCCGAGGCCTTTCCGGAATCCTGCTTGAGCGGGAAGAAGAATTTCTTTTTCAGCCATCCAATCTTTCAGTTTGAACAGCAGAAGTTAGAAAGTTTTGCCACTATATCTAGTAAACTTATTGGTCTATAGTTTTGTGGGTCTGAAATATCCCTTTTTGTGTATAGGGACAACGATGGCCAATTTCCATCCAGCAGGTATCACTGCTGAGCCATTAACCTATGAAAATACTCTAGCCAACTCTGAAGCCCACCACTCAAGGAACGCTTTGTAGAGATCTGGTGGAAGCTTGTCCTTCCCCAGGGATTTTCCAGAAGATAATGAAGTGATTAGTCCTCTAATTTCAGATTCAGAGACTGCTACCCACTCCACTAGGCCTGTAAAATCTTGCTGCACATCCTGTAGGCCTTTCTAACCTCATGGTGTTCAAAACTGTTCTGATGGTGGAAAAACTGAGAATGAATTCAGTAGGTTCTCTTGAATAGAAATCTTGGGGGAAACATGCACAAGGGCTGGATTCAGGAGATGAGGGAATCAGGCCTCAGAGCCAAATCACATGGGATCATATCTATTGAAACTGCATTAGTAAAATCGACAAAGTCCATCAGAGAGGTGTCTTTTTGCCAGCATGGTAGTGGAGGGTTAAGCACTGTATTAACAAAAAACTTAGCTGGGAAAATTCCTTTCACTTACAAAACTTCTTTCTGTCTTAATAATAAACTAGGAATCCTGGAGTTTCCAAATATAAGCATAATTCTTTATGCCTGATTTTTACTGTTAAGAGGCTCAACTGAAATCAAATCAATTGTCAACAATTTCTCACTTAGAAGAGCTCTTAAATGGAGAATAGCCCACTTTGTTGTATTCCAAAATACCCTCTGCACTTTATCTCTGCAGACAGTTAAACAAACATTACAAGGCTACAACTTTGAGTTTGGCCGCCTTTCTCTTGTAACCACCACACCTGACCCATTTTTGCACAGCCTAACCAGGTTAAAGATGAAAAGTTTTCTAGGGAAAAAACCCACCAGGATCTGAGAAAGACTTGATGTAGGTTGAGAATTTCAGAGTAAGTTGATCAGCCTTAGATTCTAGTTGCTTTAATATTTCAAAGACTGATTTAACAGTTGCAGCTGTTAGTTGAATGAGATCACCTGGCATGTTGTCGACAGTTCTGTAGTTAGCAGGTTCAGTGTCTTTATCTACTTTTTATTGCCTCGTGTGTCTCCTCTCTCAACAGCATACTTAATATTCTCATCAAAGCTAACAAGGGGAGTAAAATGGTTTGAAGTTGGAATTTCAAAGGTTGATGGAAACAAACATGGGGTGAAAAAAAATCATCAATTTTAGATTGTTTGCATGCCAACAAAGAAAGTAAATCATCTGTATTGTGTACTCTTTTGTAGGCACCCGCCACTGGAGATCTAGCAGTGCAAATTATTTATTTCTGCCCTACCTTCCTTTGCCAAGGCATCCTGGTGCAACTAGTTCCAATGCCACAAAATAACGGTTTAGCAGTTAACAGTTTAGCAGTTAGTTTGTTTGTTTCAATAAGCAGCTAAAACAAAACACTGCAAAGCTAAGGCAGAAAAACTCTGAGCAGCATCTCTAAGAAGCCATCTTTTCTCCATCTTGCTACATCTCTATTCTACAGCTACAAGGATTGCTTGTTCACTTCATGGAAGACGCATGCCTGTTACTTTTCTTGACTCTGGACTGAGATTATTGCTTATAAGATTTTCCAAGGCTTTAAACAGTCATTAATGCACCTGTGGAAAGTAGACATGGGAGCCTCACTGAGGTAGACATGGAATCATCACACTGACAGTGCTATAGAATAGGCTCAGCCATGTTACTGCTCTATAAAGCAAGATTTCTATTACAGTGACATGCTTTGGCTCAATCACTGAGTTACAAGATTGGCTATGGTTCATTTTAGATCACCCTACCCATCTGAATTAAGACCAAAGATGAACAAATGATTTCCTTAGAGCACCTTGTCTTACCTTGTTGTAGTACTGTACCTGGACAGAGTGCCACTGTCCATCACTAACACCTCCTGGAACAAATGGTGCAACTGTTGTAGTGGTTTCCCCTGAGAAGTTGCATGAAAGAGAAAGAAAGAGTTCACCTTTAGAGATCCTCTTTTCAACACATTCCTTTTAACTATGAACAAAGGTATTAGTCAGCATTGCAAAGAAAATATACACAATGAAGCAAACCCATTAATACCTTCCTCCTCCCAGCTTGAATGCACTGAGTTTGCTTTCATCCAATTTTCCATTCGTTTCATTCAGAAAATGTATATGCTACCTTTTTACTACAATCACAATGTTCAGGGAAGTTTACATTAAAAACCATTACAAAAGATGCCACAAAAAGAAAAGGATAATACAAGCACAGGCAATTAGAAAAAAATTAAAAACAGCTTATAAAAATCCAGAACCAGAAAAGCCCCTTTGGCCTGGTAAGTCAAATATCTTCTGGAACAAGAATATATCAGCCAGTTGGTCAAAGGCCAAATGAATGTCCCTTGGCAGAGAAGTCTGTAGTCTTGGCACCACCCTCTACTGCATCCTAAGCATTAAAATCTCTTGCACTGTAAAGACATTGAAAAGAGCATCCTCTTAAAGAATGGGCCAGCTCACATGGAAAAAGAGGACCCTTTAAGTAACCTTATCCCAAGTTCTGTGGGGTTTTAAAAGACTTTTAGTTGGCTCGGAAAGAAACAAGGGATCAGTGTTATCAGTATTGTAGTTGTTTCATTTTCCTAGGGGTAAGCAGACAGAAACGTGCTTGTCACCCCACGCTGAACAATCTGAGGTTCCCAGAGATTCTGGAGGGGCAGTTCCATGTTAAGAGCACTGCAATAATCCAGTATCAATGTGTCACCATGATGAGATGTGGCCTCCTTAGGAATGGGCAAAGCTGATGCTCCAGCATGTAAGCTGGACAAGAACACGCTGGCTACAGCTGTTACATCAGTGTCAAGACCAAAGCCAGGTGCAGGAGTACTTCTAAAATGCAAAACTGTGTTTTTTCCCCCGCAAGGGAGCTGCAACTCTATCCAAGACAATAGGAGGAAGGTGAGTAGAGTTAAACTGTGACATCGTGTGACCACCAGCAACACTGCTCTCAAAATAAAGCACCACATACCGCACCAACTGCTAGCTCAGTTCCTCCCCCTAAATAAATGACAAGTTTCCTGCCTGTAGACTGCAAGTTATGTTAACACAAAAAATATTTATTAGATTTATTTTCTGCCTTTTTCTTTTTTTAAAGAACTCAAAGCAGCTTACATTATGCTTCCAGTCTTATCCCTGTGAGGTAGGTTGGGCCCAAAATCACCCAGTTGGCTCCATGGCTGAGCAGGAACTAGAACCCACATCTCCGTAGACCCAGACCTGTGCTCTTAACCGCTATACCACACTGGCTCTCGCCAATTAAATTAAACCAAACACATGCACAAAATATACAAATATGCACTTTCTATTTCTAGTGTGTCTTCATGCTGAATCAGTTGGATGCCTTCAAACTTTATTTTATTTATTAGTAATACTTATATACCACTTAATATGGTGAGTGGTACACATAAACTTTAGCAAAACAGTGTAAACATTTTAGCTGACAAAGTGTAAAATGTCACTATTTAGGAGAAATAGCTGTTACCCACAGAAAGAATGTGAATTCCTGTGGCTTTTTTCTCCAGGCTGGAATCATACCACACTGTCAGATAAGGTGTGAAAAAACAAAGAAAACATTTTTCTTCCCAGGAAATTGCAGAAGCCAGCCGAGCAACACACGACATTGCTTCCTTTCTTTCCCATTAAACGTCATTCAAAGATTGGATTTGATAAAGCACAGAATGTCAGATTAGCTATGCAGACCAGTACAACCAGCCAGGTGACTATTCATGGCTGCTCTGAGGTAATAGCAAAACAAATACCTACAGCAAAAGTACACAAGATCCTGTCAAACTGAACAGGCTGGGTTTGCCATAAATGACTACTTGGACAAAAGTCAGAGGGATAAGAGAAGAAAAACATTAAGAAAAACTATGTCTATTATAAACGGCTATGTTTCTGGCTGTATTCATGCAAACATTGACTTAAGTTTAACCCACACAGCTGTTCATTTCATAAAAAGCAGTCTTAAACTGTGAGAGAAGTACAATGAGTGTTACTCTTTAAAGACGATATATGTGCAAACTCTGCATTATTTGTTTTTGTGAATGTTACAGGTAAGACCTAGCACTCTCCTTGTTTGAGTTATCTTTGTGCACCACAAAAAGTAAAACTATATACTGAAGGAACCCTCAAAGTTCCATTCATTTTATTCCCATTCTTTCTTTTATCTATGTCCTAACTACTTCCTTTTCATCTTTGTTTTCTTCTTTTTCACGAACTCGATTATTTAGACAATTTTTATGCAGTAAAACAGGGCATTTTGCAGGGAATTCTTACAAAGGATTGCCATAAGTCAGAAACAGCTTGATGGCATATATATAACAACATATAATTTCAATCACAAAAGCTCTTATTAATTGCTCAGTTGCCTAAGGTCTACTTAACCCCAAGTAATTTCACCTTCTTTGTTTCTCAAACTCAAGGAGGTTTGAACAGATAGCTGTTGACTGTCCAGATATTTTCTGATATATATTTGGATATGAATCAGATATAAGCCTCAAGAGGAGATAACTTTCCTCTTTCCTTCTCTAGCAAACCGAAATGAAATCTTAGAAATCTTTGCTTTTTTTCAAAATTTAACTGGTTACAGACCAGTATAAATCAGAGTAGCATTCTTTGGAGATGTGAGAGAAGCCTCTGCCCATGTAAACAGTTGAATCCAAACTGAACCTTCTCCTCCTTTCCCCCATTTCAGAAAAGCTTCTGATCCCACCCTCAGGGTACGTCCCGCTGCTTGCAGACTAGATGTGGAAACACTAGACAGTTCTGAATTGCTCGGCTCACTTTATCTGTTACCTCTGAATAAGATCAGGGAATCCTCCCCCCCACCGTGTCCCTCCCACTCTGAAAAGTCTCCCTCCCTAGGAGGGCTGGTTCTCATGCCCTGCCTGAGAAGTTTCACGAGGTAACTGCCCAATCCTCTGACCCTCTCCCGCTCTTCCACCTCCTCCTTAGAATTGGACAAATCCATCTGAACAGACCGTAATGTGTGAGATGTCCTTCCCACTCCACTACATTAAGGAAGTTTGTAATGTACTTTGCCAAATGACGCATTATGAAAAACCTACTGGCTTCTAGGTTTACTCACCCCAAATTAGTTACACATATCTGATAGCTACATGGTTGTGTGATCATCATTCAGATGTGTTTTTAATTCAACAATTCAACTAACTAACAGAAGCTCAGTGCAGACAAGATTGAGATGCTGCTTGTGGGTGATTCCTCTGACAGGGTGGAGGGAATTCAGCCTGTTCTGGTTGGGGTCATACTCCCCTTTAAGGATCACAGCTTGGGAGCTGCTCCTTGGGTCATCTTTGTCACCTGAGGCCCAAATGGCCTCAGTGACATCAAGTGTCTTCTACCAGCTTTTGCTGGAGGCCCAACATCTGGACAAGGATAGCTGGTTTCAGTAATCCTGCTCTGGTAATTAGTTAAAGAGGTTGTGCAATGCATTCTACCTGGGGCTGCCCTTGAAGACTGTTTAGAAGCTGCAGATTTTGCAAATTGCAGCAGCCAGATAAATAACACAGACCAGAAGATCCAATCATATTACACCAATTCTAGCCTGCTTGCATTGGCTGCCTAGATGATTCTGAGTCCAATTTAAGGTGCTGCTTTTCACCTATTAATCCTTACATGGGTTTGGAACACTTCTCCCAACTGCAAACTACCTGCACACTACGATCAAGATCTGGAGCCTTCCTCCAACTGTCTATTCCAAGGAAGGCTCATTAGGTGGTAACAAGGAGAAGAGCCTTTTCAGTGGCAGCCCCCTCAATTATGAAACAAGCTCTCTACTGGGGTCCACCTGGCTCCAACTTTGATATCTTTTCAGCTTAAAGTTAAGACTCATCTACAACAATTAACCCCAAATCTTACTAAAATGTAACAAATTTTATATTTTATTGGAGCATTATGTCATCTGCTTAACAAGTGGCTTACTCGTACCTATTGTAAGCTACTGCAACTTTTTTTAAAAAAAGTATTTTTAATTCTGTATTGTGCATTTATGATGCTTTTATTGTTATTGTATTTTGTATTGTATTTAATCTGCTCTTGTGAAATACCCAGATAGCTTCAATTATTGGGCAGAATATTAATATTAAAAATAATGGAACCTGAATGAGTTTTACAGTGTGAATGTGAATACCATCTGTAACCTCACTGGCTAAATGCAAGAGAGTATTGCCATTATTTTGAATTTCCCTTCTTGGATCAAAGCAGTTAGTTCCCATTCAACCTAGAAATAGTTCTTCTTAGAAGAAAAAGGATCTTGTATATCGGATTTTTCATAATGCAAATATATGATGAAAACATGTAGATATGCCACTACAGTTTAATATCTTAAAGATCTTACATAACATAGAACATTTTGTTGATTTTCTTTTTTCTGTAATATCCTCTACCAGATTTTTTTTGTCTGGTTCTGTAGAAATAAAGTAAGACAAACAACATTCGTTTTGCATTCATTACTGCTCTTTCTTAATAACCTCTCCTTGTCTAGATATCAACTGCTTGAGGGTAACAGACACCAACAAGTATTTGATACCATCTAGATAGATATCTTCTCCGGCTACTCTGTAATATAGGTTGATTTTCAATTAGCAAATATAGAAAACATTGCTTTAGGCAAAATGCTTTACATCTAATTACATTTCTTACATGAATGTACAAGAAAGTGCATTTAAGGACCTGAATTCTTACTTTCGAAAATTTCTGTGACTCATAGAACTATGCAAAAAGTTTAGACCCATGGAAGTCAATAGTCAGCATTTAGCAACTTCCTTAAAATGTGCATTTTTGTGATTCCCCAGTCCCTATCATTGTCCCATCTTCTCCTATACCTAGCAAAGTACTTGAATTATTGAGCCAACGCAAATATATTTAAATTGTTCTAATGGCAAAATATAGTGTTGCAGAATGAGCTTAAAGAAAACATAGCTTTATTTTCCAGCAGCTTTAATACTGAAAGTTTATTTATTTATTATTAGATGTATATGCCACCTTTTTCTTACAAAGAACTCAAAGCAGCTTACATTATTCTCCTCTTTCCACTCTCAATCTTATCCCCACAACAATAACCCTGTGAGAAAGCTTGGGCTGTGACTTTGCGACTGCCCCAAGGCACCAGTTGGTTTCATGGATGAGTGGGGACTAGAATTCAGATTGCCTGTGTCCCAGTCCCACACTCTTAACCACTACCCCATACTGGTTCTCTGAAGGTTCATCAGAAATGCATAAACGGAGTAGGAAGGACCTTGTTAATTTGCACATTGCAGTTTCAGTCATTAATATAATCTGTATATCACCCCTATGCACCTGAGGCACTCTGTCAGCTTCTATATTCCTATTTTGAAACTGAGACATCCAAGTGTAATGGGAGAAAACTTGGACAGGGATAGGGAGAAGAATTAATTTATGCTTTCCATGATTGAATGTGCAAATAAACAAAAAATTGAAGGCCTAAACCTCCTAGCTATGCAGGGTGTAGCTAGTATGCCAAGAGTTGTATGTCCCTTCTATCTTGGATTGCATCATTAGTGGCCTCTTTTCCATTCTTTAGCAATGTTTTGATTCATACATTGGAAAGTATCTGAAATTTAAGTAAAATTCATAGTAACTGTTACTATTGTTTTCAGTCTAAAGTTTAAAACTTCCTATATTTTTGAGCAATCTACTGAGAATCCATTGTCTGATACGCAATATTATGTGTCTTTGAATTATTTTTTTACCAATGCAATGCTACACATATTTTCCTAGGTAATCCTACAGTGTCCAATGGGTCTTATTCCCATGGAAGTGTGCACAGGATTGCAGCCAAAGGCACGGAGCACAGTGGAACTTGTTTCTGAGCAGGCATGCATCAAATGGGGCTGTTATTTTGTTAGAAATAGAAACTATGTTCTATATTAAAAGAATGAGGATATGGTTTGATGCATAACACTCTTGGTTCATCTGATCCTGCAAAATACTCAGCCATCTGCTTCATTTTAAGTACATGAACAGTTCTATTGACTCTGAAAGAAAATTGAGCATTCTCACACTTTGTAAAATTGGCCATACTGTAACCATGGTCTCTTCCACATAGCAAACCTTTGACAATGGATAATGTGTTTATGATACATTATGATCAACTGAATCATAACTCAGCAGTGTGAGAGATTCTCCTAGCTGTATCTGAATAGAGATTTATAACAATGAACCATCAGTGCTTATGGTGTGTGATGAACTGTGTTACAAATACAATTTGGTATTCTATGAAAAGCATCTCAAGAATGAAGCACAGAATCTCAAAAAATAAAGCGGGGAAAGGACAGGATGAAACCCATGATTTCCAAAGAACTTAGTGCAAAAGGGCAAATTTCTCCCTGGCAGATGAAACAGCTCTCATGGGCATTTCCTTAATTTGTTTGGTTGGTAGCAGGGAAGAACACCCAATTTACAGCCACAGAGCAATAAAAATAATTACTAAAAGGAATCAGAGAAATTGATTTTAGATCGTATTAAAGTTGTTCTAGCAATGTGATCCTATTCATGTTTACTCAGTAATGATTTATGTAGTACTCGTACCCTGTGATTTCAGTGGGACTTACTCTTTAGGAAGTCTGCATAGGATTCCAGCTTTAAGATGCCAGTTGCTTAATGTAACTGATGAATTTTTAAAATGCAGTGAATGATTTAGTTGAGGATATCTGCTAACCTTAGCAAGCTAAACAAACAGAAATATCTTACCTGCAGAGAATGTCAGCTGGATCTGTTCTTCAATGATCTCAAGTGCAATAAAATCGTGCTTCTCATTAAAACGCCCATTATAGAGAAGCAGGGCATTCCTTTCTCTGGTTGCAAACCTACAACAGATGGGGAAGCACAAATTTCACAGAAAGAATTCTTTACAGCCAAGTAGCTCTGTAAACAAACCACATAAGACTTGCCAGCCATTCCATTAAAACAGGACAAGCTCTTACTTATATCCCTAGATGTAAAATGGATCATTTCCCTTTCTGTTATACCCTAGCAAAATGCCTGTCCTAATGGTAGATTGGACACATGGAGGAGACAGGGGGCTCGATTTACACACACACACACTGCTGCAACCTTTAAATGTGGCCTAAAATAGTTTTTAAAAGGAACAACAAGAACACCAGCAGTAAGCGGATGTCAGTGGTATTTGCTTTCAAGGATGTGAATTTAGGATTGCAGTCTAAATATTCCTAAATTTGAAGGTCTCTTACTTAGCCACAGCTAGAACCTGCAGTCAGCTGGTGCAACAACATTCTTACTTAGCCAGTTTGGCCCCCATTTGTCCCATCATGAACTTGGTGTTCTAAGAGGCTAAAATGATATTATTTCCTTAAGCAAGTATACACTGGCATTAGATTTGTGGAAGTAAAAGGGGGAGAAAGAAACTGCTCAACTTTGGGAATGGGTAGCAACATAGCTAAAAACTAATGCAAAAATGTGGTAAGAAGCTTAATGGAAAAAAGGAACAGCTTGTGATGAATAAGCAGAGGATATTGTGATAAGCTAAGGATACTTTTTCCTTAGCTCTTTTTATAGCATCTGCTTTTTCAGTTATGGCATATGGCATAACGCACAGCCTCTACGCAATTTCTAAACTAGACAGTGTGGACAGCTAGCAATCTAGTTTGTGGGCGTGTGGCTTATTATAAAAAATATAAGTTTCAGTCAAGTGGATGAGCTTTATTAGATAAAACATTTGCCTCTGAACAGAGTTTAAGACTCGAATAAGTCTGGCTTCCTACGATTATACGTATACTGCCAAAGCATGAAACCCTCCCCACTTTTAAAATTAATTTCCTAATTCTGGGCCATTCTTGAAGAAAATATTCCCCAGCTGTTCAGAGTAATTATAAAAAATAAGACCAAGAAGGCATGTTTCAAAATGAGCAACAAACTTCTGGATGAGATATACTGCAAAAGCATGCCCATGAAAAGTCATGTGCTACTGTGTACTTATGCCCTGGTTTGTGGCCACTGCAAACATGGATGAGCAAGTATTCACACAACATGGAAAGAAGGAAACTTACATGAGAGAGACAGTGAAATGGAAGCGTTGCCTTAAGCCCTTGAAGGTGACAAATGACTCTGGAGGGAAGCTTCTTGTAGTCATCTCACAGTAAGGTCTCTCGTATTCACCAGGGGGGCACTCACATTTGAAGCCTCCTATGAGCAGATTAACACAGGTCCCTCCGTTCTTGCACACACCTGGTGCACAGCGTCCAGAGCGAGCGTTCACTTCACAGTACTCTCCTAATGGAGAAAGAGAAATATCTGTCAGATATGAAGGCATAATAGTATCTTTCTAAAACTATTAGTAATTTAAGAACCCATGGCTAGGGACTGTAATGACTTCCACGAATTCCACTAGGAGAGAGAAAAGGCTGTCTAATTCCATAAATTGCTAATGCAAGCTTCATGATTCAAGCTGGGAAGCACTTGGCCAACAGGTCTCAGTTGCTTAGCCTTGGCCACACCAGGCCCCATGTTTTGCAAGCAGGATCTTTCCTACTGAAATGATGAAGAACATAAGAAAAGCTATACTAGTCTGGGCCAAAAGCATATCAAGCCTAGCATTCCGCTTGTGCAGTGGCTAACCAGCTGACTTTGTGAAGTTCAGAAGTTGGATTTGCGTGTCAGAGCACAGTTCCATTCACGCTCCTCAGCAATTGTCACACAAAGGCATATTGGCTCTGATACTGGAGGTAATATTTAGCCATCAGGGCTATTGCCATTGACAGATTGTTCTGCTTGCGTTTGTCCAATTGTCATCGCTGCTGAGAAAAGACCTTCTACAGCATGAGGAAATCAGAAGAAAAGCACACAATTTAACCATCAAAAAGGTGATTAAAATGTCATTAACAATATGCAAATGTCAAAAGAGTTTCCACCCACATTACAAGGATAGTGTTCTATCTGCGGCTTAATCAGAACCAAACCTTCTGTTACTTACCGATCACAATAAAGTCTCTCAGGCTACTGTGTTTTTTGCACAATAAAACATTTGAATCATTGAAAATGGCACAGGCCTAAATAAAAGGCTAAGTATGGACTTGCCCTATTGAAACTGGAAGGGGATATCTACTGATAAAGCCCTGACTTCTCTTTGGACTGATGTCTTGATGAAAGGACAATTGATGACAAACAAGGAGGACATTGACATGAACACATGTACGTGCAGAAACACGACAGACCCAAATAAACAAATGAAGGAACAGCTGTCGGTATAGTCTGCAAGTTTAAGCCACTATTGTTCTTATGAGCAGAAATAAGAGCTCTGGAATCATTAAATCATCCCACATCATTGAATGTAAATTCTTAGTAAACACTTGATTGAACAGTGCAAGTTTCACCAAGGTCAAGAATGTCTCTTGGTAAGTTAACAAACCAGTATGCTCACTAATATTTTTTGCCTTTTTCTCTCCTGCCCTATTTGGAAGTGGTCACTTCCATATTTGAATGGTTTTCTTCCTCATAATTTCCACCCTGAAATCAAGACTGCAAATTTTAAAATATCTGATGGTCTCAGGAAAGTAGCAATAGAGAAAGTAATGCATAAAAATTCAAGATGGGTAAGGGGAATATTTGTCTTCAATGAAAGTTATTTATCTTTAATGAAAGGACATATAGGAATTCTAATGAAATAATAAGCAATAGCACCAGGAAGCCAAACTTTATTTGCTCAGGGCATGTTTACACAATCAATTATCCTTGGACACTAACTCACGAGCTAAACTAAGCATTCAATTTATTTATACCTTCAAGTTGTGATTGTGAGTCTGGAGGAATCTAAATGAGTTAACAATGCCTAGCTAATTTGAGAGTGCTCAACCTTTCTCCTTTCCCATCCAAAACTCAGTAATGTTGTAAACAGGATCAATGGGACAGAGAGGTTAATAGAATACTGTGTTTTCTGGAAATGCACAGTGAACTGTGAAAAGCCCAAGACAGCAAGCAATAGTTTGACTGAACACCCATGGAATTCTTCAATTGTGTAGGCCAGTCTCCCTAGCCTTGTGCTCCCCAGATGCCTGGGACCAGAATCCCAGCATCCCTGACCATTGGTTATGCTGGCTGGTGCAGCCTGGAATTGAAATCCAAAACATCTGGAGAGTATTAAGTTGTAGAAGTTGGTATAGACATCTTCTCAGTCCATTACCATGGATTTTCTTATACAAGTTATCACTGTAGGAGTGGTATGAATATCTCTCTATCTGGATTGATTTACATATGGAACCAGCTTGTAAACTGACCATGGCATAGGCTCACATTTTCCTTTAATGTTATACAAAAGTGAACTGTGGCTACACCTTTCATGGAAGCTTTCCATGCCTTCTGTAGACAGTTCAGGGCAGCAGGACACATTTTTCATACACGGGCCCAGTGTGGATATGTGACTCTGGAGCTCAGGATCTTTATCTGAGCAAAGTTCTGCTCAGATAAAGATCCTGAGCTCCGGAGTCACACATCCGCACTGGGCCCGTGTATGAAAAAAATCATTCTCACACATATTCATATTGGTTGCTTTCTGAACTTAAGGATTTTCTGTTTCTGTGACTGCCACAATAATTCTCTAAGTCTAAGAATGCAATTTGGAGCATATATAACAGAAAGAATTATTTCTAAGTAATCATGTTTATGATCAGACTGCAACTCTTGCAGATAAATTTTTTCGGAGGTATGTGTCACCTTGATGTTCCAAAGGTGCTATTCTGGACTTGTGCACAGATAAGCCAGTGAAAACATTGGGATGTTAAAGATTGTACTGTGTAAATATTTGAATGTGTGAGCCACAGTTCAGAGAATGGAAGAGTGATGTTTCACGACAATTTTTCTTAAAGTCACTGTCAGAATTGGAAATGGCATTCCACAAATAAAAGGAATTAGTTGGTGGGTGTGCTGGGGGCAAGATGATGGGGAAATATGAGAGTGATCAGCAGCAGAAATGAGATAGCTAGTCCAGGAAAGATTTTAATTGATATTCTATAGCTACTGTCTTCTTAGCTTCACCAACTGGAATGTTGGCTCAAGAGTTTCTCTGAAAATGAATTTGGCCCTCAGACTGAAAGAGGTTTCCCACTCCGGATAAGCTACAATTAATTGTGATGGCTTGCAACACTGCTCCTCTCACCCCCTTTTCCAGCATGATTGCAAAGAATTCAAAAACTCTCATTTCTTTTTTAATTAGCCACAATTAATAATTTCACCCAGAACTGAAAAACAATTAAACTTAACACCCATTTCATGTGAAACAAGCCAATCTGAAACCATTGCTTCTGATGCTAGTCTAACTTTAAAAACATAGTTAAGTTCCATCACAGTTTAAATTTCCCATCTAGCTCTCAATGTTGATAATTCTAGAACAGAAGCAAAAGCTTCTAATTGCATTGCAGCCCCACTAGGGAAGAAGATGGGTGCACGCAGGACTGAGGGAAGGCTAGTCTTATTATGGCCATGATAAAGCACAGGTTATCATGGTATCTGAACACAGCCAATAGCATCCCTGTTTTCTCCTCTTCTACCTCTTCAATCCCCTACAATCTCACAAAAGAAAATAAGCAGCCTTGGGATTAAGATCTCTTTTTCTCATTTAGATTAGAAAAATATTTTTAAAAGGACGGAAAAAAATGCTGTTGAGATTAGGAGATATTTGGGGCACATCTGGTAAGGAAAAAAAATCACCTCCAGACTGCAGAAATTGAAAACACATTCTCAAGATTATATACTTATTTTTCATTATTTGTGAAAGGCTGCCCAGTGTCCTTAATCCATGATATCAACAGAAGTGATACAAATAGCAAGACAGTTGGCTTCTTCCATTTTAACCTTATTTATTGATGGGCTCTTGCAACATTTATGAAAATAAGTTCATCACTATAGGGATATAAAAGTTTCAAAAAAGTAAAAATTGTAGGACTTTTTTCTGTCTATGCATGCATAGGATTGCATCTAAATAACTGAAAATGTGACCTAGGTATAAACAACTACTTGAGGATCTGAGTATTTAGGGAGAGTAGTCAAACAGTTTACCCAGAAGCTATAAAAGGCAAGTTTAGCCTTGTTAACTGTACAGATAGGGTTTCATTATTGCACACACCTTCCACCTCCTTAAAACTACCTTGCCTTAAGCCAGGAATGCGATAGAATGATGCCTTCTATTCAGTTAGCCTTGGGCAGAGTAGAGCAGCCCATGTGGGATTCCCTACCAATAACTGCTGCAAATAGTAGACTGTTTTCTTCAGTTACTCAACAATGTGCAGACTAACTATATATATATCCTTTAATTATTCAGCGAGTAAACATTATCCACTATAAACAAACAAGGAAGACAATGAGGCACAATGTAGCCTACCTGTAGCAGTTTGCTATCTACTAACAACATATTTCTGAGCTATGGTTACTAGCAAAAAACCACTTTGTGTTATAACATATTGAGATTTAAGCTGCAGTCCTAGAGTGTACTACTGGATAGTGTTACCTACTTCTGGAGAAACATACTTAGGGCCGTACTACCCAAAAATGGAAAACCCTAACACAGGGGTCCTCAAACTCCTTCAATAGCCAAACAGCCAAACAGCCCGAAACTCTCAATGGTTGCATGTACATTTTACATTGTACAGGTAACAAAGCCTTCCCCTTGAAAGCCCATGCTGGAGAACCCACAGGGTTGAGCAATACCCCACAAGCAATAGTCACTTCTGGACTTCGCCATTCAAACAGCAGCAAAACCACTACAACCACTTCATTACTAGCTAAAGCAGCCTCAGAATGATACTAGGCTTGATGGTATCAGTATCAGAAGTCACTGAGAACCAGCAGGATTAAACTGCCTGTCTCTCTTCCAAAACAGGTCATCATACAGAGAGATTAAGATAATATCTGTGCCAAAACATGGCCTGAACCACAATCGCATTGGATCCAGATAATTAATTTCATCCAGGAGCATCTGGCAATGGCAGGAAAGGAATATTTTTTGCTTGCTTAAAGTTTTGCTTGCTTAAAGACTAGGTCCAGGGCTCATGTCTTCAGGCCTGATCTTACCACCACCTCTTTCATGCAACCAGAAACTGACTCCCACCCCCTCAGAGGCATTAATGGCTGTTCACTCCCTGTCAGATTTTGTAAGTCACATGGGGCAAAGATTGAATACAGAGATGTACAAATGTATAATTTTGGAGAGGGAATACAGCCCAAAAGCATGTGTAGAAAAAATGTTTTCTTTTCACACAGTTACTTTTACAAGTTTTTCAGAT